AAAGAATTTCTTTCTAAATATCAGCAAATTTTTTGCAATCAATTTTGTTGGAGCTCTGTGATGAATCTTTCGCACTAGGGTTGAAATTATTGCCAGAATACTCTTAGAACTCTGTTTCTTGTAGAATTCTGATCATAATTCTCTTGGAATTCGTCTTAAGATTCATCTGTCATTTTCCTCAAGATCATACAAATCTCCTCAGAATCACGGAGGAATTTTTCTTAAAGTTTTGTTTTTCACAACTCCTTTTGAAATCTTCTAAAATTACCTGACAATTTAATTTAGAGCTGGCATTCTTCTCCACAGAAATCCCTCTAAATTCATCTAACAATTTCTAAGGACTTCATGTCAGAATAATTCTGGAATTCTGCTCAGAACTTCTCCTTCAAAAACTGTGTGGGAATCCTTCTCAATATTTGTTTGAAATCAACACTTTGAATTCTTTTAAATTGAACTAAAAAATCCAAGGTTTGTCCACTAGATTCTAAAGATTGTTCTGTAATTTGTTATAACCCTTAAAATGCTTCCAAGTCTCTGACTCAACGACTCACAAGTATTATTTTTATTTTTCAAACCTGTGATCTTGAAAAATTTTCAAAATCTCACATTTTAATTATTTTTTCTCCAAATCTTGCATCACGAAAATTGTTATTAATGACAAGTTTTAAAGAAAAGGTCTAGTTTCAGACCCTACACAAATTTCAAAATCCCAGAATTTTGGGAATCTTCTTAAATCACATTTTTTTTTAATACTTTTAATAAATTCCTTTCAGCACGTTTTTAAAAATGCGTTCAATTTTGTTTTTTGTTGAATATTTACAACCGAGATTTTTTTAAGATTTTAACCGGGAAAACCACGAAAAAACCGGGAATTTCAAAATGAAAATTCACTGGCCACCCTGCATGGGATTCCTTGATTTGTTTTCGGTCGATCTTGTTTTCCGTACTGAGTGCCAACGTGTTACTGGCGTCAGGGGGACCACACCTGGACCCTACCTATCGACCCATCAACTCATGAACCGGGGACCAACGGCTTTACTTCCCTGACTTTACAATCTTTTCTTGTTACTTACACATACAAAATATTATCATAATATCTTATTATTCCATAATTTCATAAAACATGTTTTTCGCCAAAATGAATGGAAGGCACACTGCTTCCCTCCATGATCAGAGATGTTATGCCTCAGAACATTCCGGTGGTGCCGACTGGGATTGAACCCAGGCTTGCTGGGGTGAGAGATAATCACGCTTACCACTACACCACCGGCGCCGCTTGCACCTCAAGGGATGATTTTAGCCGAATTTTCCTTATCCAATCATGAACTTCTGTAGAAATTTTTTCTTAAGTCCTAAATAAATTTAACAATTTTATTTTAATATTATAATTTACCCTGGAAGACCAATTCAATTCATCCCCCCCCCCCTCCCACCATAGATTCCTCCGACTTCTCTGAAAATCGACTTGTTCCAGGAACTGTTATCCGACTTCTCCAGAATTTGTTTTCTAAATTTCTCCACATTCATCGGAAGATTTTTTTTTCGCTCTTGATGATTGTTCTAACTTATCCTGATAGTTTATTTTCTATATTCCCTTAAAAGGATGTTAAGGCCACTCCTGGAAATTCATTCTAGTTTTCTTGGAATGTTTACCTCAACTTTGTTCCATCTTTTCGCGTAAACTTGTTCCAGTTTTATTAGAATATTTTTTTATGACTGCTTTTTTCTAAACTTGATCTGGAAGTTTCTTCTGGCTGACATTGACCAATTCTAACGATTTATTTTGAAAGCTCCTTTCGAATTCCTTCAAAAATCCAGCTGACATGCCCCGGGAATGTCTGCTGACTTCTTTTGGAAGTCTCTTTAAACTTTTTCTGAAAGTTTCTTCCGATTTGCCCCGGAAATTTCTTTCGTCTTGGATGTCGGGCGCCTGTCTGCTTCCTCTGGAAGTTTCTTCTAACTTTCTCCTGAAGTTTTTTTTTCAGACTACTCTGGAAGCTCTTTCCAAAAAGTTTCCATTTTACCCAAGGGGTGGTCACTCTACACACTTAGTTTTGTGCCATCATTTTTTTCAGTGTACCTCAGTGTGCCGCAGCTGTACCGGCAGTGCCAAGAAGTCATTGAAATGACTTTTGTTTGCTTTGAATAATGCCTTGTTTGGAAACCCGGTATTTTAACAGCTCTTGTTTTTGTTTTGTTTTTCAATGTTTTCAAAAACGACACGGACTCCAGTTGGGACTACACATTGGATGTATCCGTTTCCAAGGATGCCTGCAACGGACGAGCTCCGTTGCTACACGATCCTTCCATCTTCGGCGGAAGGTCGACCCCGCGCAACGAACGTCAATCATTAGTCAACCAGCCCTTCTGGGAGCCGGCGGAGGAAACGGATTTGCACCGAATTTTTCACCACCCGAGTATCATCCGTCGGAAAACTAGAAACCAACACCGGCCCGAACACACGTCGGACTGATGAAGGACGCACCGCTGATCCGAAACGGACTAGCCAACTTCATTCAACCAGCACAGGAACAGGGCGCAGTGATGATGGTCTACGGACTCGATAACAACACAGCCAACACCGATAAGCTGTTCAATCTGTTTTGCCTGTATGGAAATATTGTCAGGATAAAGTACCTGAAGACCAGATGGGAGACGCCATCGCAGTCGAACCAGTCGAATGCAGCATCCAGCACTTGAACAACATTGAATGAATGGAAATGATGGTAGCAAAATTCAAATTGCATTTTCCAAGCAGAACTACTTGTCAGAGACCACCAACCCGTACACCCTGCCGGACAATTCGATCAGCTTCAAAATCTACAGCGCCTCCAAGAACAATCGCTTCCCAGGCCAGCAAAAATCACATTCTCCATTTCTTCAATACCCCACACGTATGCCATCCGAAGATCTGCTGCTAACTGCATTCACCACCAAGGACTGGCACCCGTCGCAAGTGCGAATGTTCCCGCTGAAATCGGAAAGTTCCTCCTCCGGATTGGTCGAGTTCCCGAGCGTAGCCCTGGCGGTGACCGCCATCATGAAGTGCAACAACAGCGCGATCGATCACAAATGCACCAAATTTCCGTTCATTATGAAGCTGTGATTCTCCTCCTCCAAGAAGACCCCCTTTTAACTTTGAAAGAGCGGAAGCTTCTTTTTCTCAGAAAAGAAAGGATTTTCCTTTGTCTGTGTAGTTAATGTTATGATTCGTAATTATTATTTCTTACTGTGTTAGTTGGAAGTGCAAAAAGGCAGAAGAGTAAAAATAAGTTGTTGAACTATTTGAGATTTTGCCAAGACGGTCCACCAACATTATATGTTGGACGATGGAATGGTTGGTGTAGCAGCCACCGCACAGAAAAAAAACTGAATTTTAACTATCGCGTAAAATCTCCCCTCGTTTAATTTTGAGCTACAGTTGGCATAAACAATGAAATTATTTACAAGCTTGCATGCAATATTGCTCATTTAAGCGATATTGCGCTTAAATTTACTCGAAATATCGTGTAAATTTATGCCAAATCTAGCGTTAATTTTATGGTATATCCTGATGAATGTGGGCGTCTTAGTGGAATACCTGTATAATGAGAGAGAGAAGGATTAGTATTTTCCATTTAATTCCACTACTTTATTTGCTTATCCTTGACAGATACGCGTATTTCGTCTACAATGTGCAGACTTCTTCAGTGTCTTGTACTAATACTCGACTCGAGTATTAGTACAAGACACTGAAGAAGTCTGCACATTGTAGACGAAATACGCGTATCTGTCAAGGATAAGCAAATAAAGTAGTGGAATTAAATGGAAAATACTAATCCTTCTCTCTCTCATTATATTTATGGTATAGTTTTTGTTTGGTTGTTGACTTTCCGATTAAAACTCAAGCACCGCTTGTCGTGACCGGCCCGAGATTTCCAGTGTCGGCTACGGCTACACGAATTAGCGATACAACTCCCACGGCTGCGGCTGCTTCCAATGCTGCTTAAGTTGCTGCTGCTGCTGTTCCTTCTGCTGGTCCGTCTCCTCTAAAATTCGTAAAAAAAAACGACGGACCAGCAGCAGCATTGGAAGCAGCCGCAGCCGCTAGTCCGTGTAGCCATGGCCGGAAACCTCGGTCAGGTCAAGATACCGCTGTCAGCTGTTCTTCGTCTGAGAGGAAACGTGGATGCGACTGCCATCACGGGTGTAACGATTTTGAGAATCTATGGCGAGACTTGGTGGAGATTTCCACGATGGGAAGTCAGTCGAGGTACGCATGTCGTCTGCTCGAGGCACCGTTCAATACGTGAGAGTGTACGACCTCCCACCAGAAGTCCCGGATAGCGATTTAGGGAAATACGGTTATGTGAAGCGTGTTGTTTGGGAGAAATTTCCAGCCAGATTCCCAACTCGCTGCATTTCCTCAATCTGTTTCCTTTGTAAGATGGAGGGGCATCGAATGAATTCCTGTCCCAAGCGGAAGGATCGAAAGCAGCCAGCAAAATAGCGTGCATTACTATTACAAATTCGGGATAGTGGACTATGCCGAGAAGGAGAGGATAAAGAATGAAGATGAGGCCAAGCAGCAGGCGCAGGAAGAGGCAAGCTAAACTCAAATCGCCTCCAAGAAAGAGTAAGAAGAACTTATAAACAATGTCCCTCATTAATATTGTTTTGTGATTATGAAATTATTTATTGATTCTCTGCTCCTAGAAGTCCTTTTTAGACATTTGAGCCCAACAAATAAACTATTGGAAAAAATGGGACACTGGGGCTTAATTTTGAAAATTACTACAGTTTTATTCAAAACTCAAAAAAAAATGAGCCTGTGCAAAAAATTAAAAAGATTGATGGAGGTTATATGCCCTACAAATGGTTTGATTTTTGTTCATGGGATTCATATTCGTAATGTCAACTTAAATGTCATTTGCCGTCACTATAAAATCTATACTTACCTTCCAGAAAACTGGTTGAAATATGCAATAATAGCCAAATATCTTTTCCTTCTCAACTTTCAGAAAAGGAACGGCTCTCGCTCTGCGTCGGCTGTGGTGGTCAGATTCACGACCAGTACATCCTGCGAGTTGCACCGGATCTCGAGTGGCACGCGGCCTGCCTCAAGTGCCAAGAATGCCGACAATTCCTAGACGAAAGTTGTACCTGCTTCGTGAGGGACGGCAAAACGTACTGTAAACGAGATTATGTTAGGTTGGGAGCACTATTTTGGTTATAATAAAGACGTAAATTATATCAAATGTCCCTTCTATTCCTTCTCAATATAGGTTATTTGGTACCAAATGTGATAAATGTGGAAGCTCCTTTAGTAAAAACGACTTTGTGATGCGGGCCAAAACGAAAATCTACCACATAGAATGCTTTCGATGTTCCGCCTGCACGAGACAGTTGATACCGGGTAAGATATAAACTTTTTTTTTTCTACAGACGACAGGTTTCATAACCAATCGAAAAATTCTTACAATTCCGTAGGTGACGAATTTGCGTTACGAGACGGAGGTGCCCTGTACTGTAAGGAGGATCACGACCACCTAGAAAAGTCCAACCAAACCAGTCTGATACAGAGTGTAGAACCAAACAACAACATTAGCAGTAATACCAATCAGAACAGCAACAGTAATAATAACAACAACACTAGTATAAGCAATAACAACAACTCGAGTGAGCTGGGGTCGATGTCGGGTAAGTTTGATCTTATAACTCAATTACCTGCTGCCATCCGCGGCGCTTCTTCCAAGTATAGTTCTTTCGCAAAACAACGTCTTTCCTTTAGACATCCGCTTCTCTCTCTTGAAAACAACCATGCGACGACGAGCTGCAATCAGTGTCGTCCGCTTATCGAACGCTGTTTGACCTGATAATTAATAAAATGTAATCGATTTTGTCGCTTGTTCGACACGCCGACAAAGACCATATCCCGCTCTGCCATAATGCCGCCAACCCATTCTAGGAAGCATTCTCCAGTTTTGCTACAAAAGTGCTCCAACCAAAATTCATCAAAACCGACAACCGAACAATTACCTGCAAATATTGTCTTTTAGTTCTTACCAGCGTCGTCGAAGATTCCCTCCCCCTCTTGCCACAGCTCTCTAGAATCGCGGTTCTTCATGTTCAGTGTCACATTGTACACCTAGCGTCTAGCGGAGATCCAACTTCAAACCGAGCCGAACCCTTGTCACCGCCCGTTGTTGGACATAATGTTCGCACACTGCCGACTACATCAAAAGGGTTTTCCTCTCGATACGACGACAACGCACGGTCCTCCGGCGGTTCGAGTGCGACATAAATCACACTCGAACGCGTTAGAACTGTCACCACAAATACCTACTCTCTCTGTATTTCCTCACTGCGCTCTGCTCACCACACCGGGTTGAAGTTGTGCTCTATCGGCGGCGTCACTCGCATCTACGGGTAATGAGTGTGGGTGTGGGTGGATGGTACCTAATTCCCGGAAGATCTCATCGCTCCTGATAACGCACACGTTAGCAGTGCTCGATAGCGAGTGGCATCGAGTCTGACCGGTTTCTAAAGGGAATTTTATGTGTCATCAAGATAACCTTGGTGAGCGTTTATGGCTCAAAATTGGAACATGCAAATCTGTGAGTTCGATGCAATAAGCCAAGCGATAGAATTTGAGGGCAGGGAAATTGGCTACCTTGTATAATGAAATTTGCATTGGAAAGCTTACTAATTAGGCATGAATAGTTAAAATTTAATTGTGTCAATATGTTCAACCTACAAATGACATCATTGGGTTCGAACGGTTTGTAGAATATTCACGCATTATGAGATTGGTTGATTAAAGCTGTCCGTTCACAAACGCTGCTAACTGTTGTGTATTTAGATACAAATTATCTGTACGTCACTGATGACTCACGATGTAACTAGCAGCAATGCAAAGGAGCTGTCAACAACAACAACAACTAAAATGTGAAATTCATAATTTCCATAAATATCGGAAGTAGGTTCGGAAGTCAGACTTCCGAACTTTAACTTGTTGCTGGCGCCACAAAAAGAAGTGCAGTGCCTACCCAAGCAAAGTCGGTTAACAAAATGGAACCAAATCGACATTGCAGTTCTTTTAATGGCCCTCCACTAGCCCCACCCCAAAAAGCTCAATTGAGTCCCCTGGTAGTGGACTCATCTTATCCTAAAAAACAAAACATAAATACAATATAAACAAATAAACACATACATCATTAGTGATGAACACTAAACAAAAACTAATTTAGCAAAGGATGCCCAGTGGAACTCAATTCCTTTGATGTGATCCCAGAAAAACAAAAAAAAAACAATTTTGAACGGTTTGCTGTTCCTATCACAACGAAAACTCATTTTGATTTAAATTGTCGCGGAATAAGTCTCATGCCATATTAAGCATTCATTATGCAGTCAAGAATTTTCAAAAAGATTTGGACACTGAAACAATTTAACTTCAATTTTGCTGTTAACATATTGTTTAAAATTGAATTTAATTTTACCTGTGCTGAACTACCGATTATTGTTTGTTTGTTTTGTTTAGCACATTTGAGTTCATTCGAGACTTGTCCAGGGTGATATTTGAACTGAAGTCTTTCAGCGTGAGACGCATGAATGCTAAACATTTACGACCAAGATTCAACTGGTAACAAAATTTGTAATTTCGTGCAATTTATTCTGCTTAATTCATTAATTTCGTTACAAATTTAGATGATAAAGGGTGTCCCACATCAAATTGCATCATGGAAAAAACGCTGTAGAAAATTACCTAGTTGACCGATCCTTTTCAAACTTTCAGACAATAAAATATAACTCATTAGTACACTTTTTGCATACTTATTTCATTCTGTACAACATGTGGCTGCAGCTTCTTCTGTACGGAAACCCACTTTTTTTTTCATGTCTTCCTCAGATTTGACCTCATTGGGATGCTTTCGAGGTGCCTGCTTCATAATAGCCCAGTATTTTTCGATGGGCGTTGGGTGTGTTTATGTCCTTGGGTACGAAAGTGACCTCGTTGGCTGCGTATCACTCCAGGACAACATTTGAATAGTGGCACGAAGCTAGATTTGGCCAGAAGATCGTAGGGCCCTCGTGTTGCTTCAACAAAAGAAGCAGACGCTTCTATAGACACTCCTTGAGATAGATCTCCACGTTTACAGTCCCGGTAGTCACGAACGGTGCACTCCGTTTGCCACATGAGCAGATCGTTTGCCAAATCATGTATTTCTTGGCAAATTTTGATAGTTTCTGCTTCCTTACTTCCTCCAGAACATCAAACTTGTGCTGGCCGATGAAGCTACCGGAAGTCCGTCTTGACGTAAGTCTCATCATGCATGATGAGACAATGAGGCTTCGTCAGCATCTGGGGGTGCAGGTTCCGGGCCCCTGACTTTCCCACCGTATTTTGCCGTTCGTCACGATTTGGAGCCTTCTGCACTTTGTACGTATGCAGTCCCTCCCGGTCCTTGGCTCTCTAAACGAAAGGCTTGGACAAATTCAACTTTTTGGCCACATCCCTGACCGAAGCATTGGGATTCCGCTTAAATGCTTTCACGACACGCTTGTGATCCTGATCACTAATAGAACATCCATTCTTACCTCATTTCTCCTTCCGTTCGATGCTCAAAGTTTCTTAGTTACGTTTAATCACACGACTCACCGTTGACTGTGTGATTCCGAGTTGTTTTCCGATGTCCCGATGAGAGAGTTGAGGATTTTCCAGGTGCTTGCGCAAAATCAACGTTGCTTCTCTGGTGACGCCCTTTTTTCAACTTTCGAAAAACTGACATCGATAAAAATACAGTGTAAACAATACACTCTAAACGACTTTTATCCAAATTTTCAAGAGAAAACACCCAATGGGTAATTTTCTACAGCGTTTTTTTTCGTGATGCAATTTAATGTGGGACACCCTTTAACAAAAACTGCCCATGTTCGTCACTGACTACGTGAGTGACGAACGCGGTTTTGCAAATTTTGGCGTGTATGGTCAATATTTTGCAAAACTGATTATGAATGCAAAATCAGTAATCAAATTGATTTCATTGATAGTATGATTAGTTTTCCGTTTGATTCAACAATGTAAAATTATGCTTTCAGTTTTGCTGTGTTTGCCTCAATGTTTGAGATTTTTAACCGTAGACTAGTCTGGAGAGTCAACTGGAGTAAAAAGAAAGTTACATCATAACAGTAAATTATGATTTAAATTGGATCTACAGCTTTGCTCGGGTAGTTACTCGTTTCATGAGAACTCTTTTGTGTTAATACTGTGTAAAACTTCTATAATGTAAGTACATAATAGAAGTCCATCCCTTATTAACACAACAAAAGCTCGTGTGTAAAGTTCTCTATAATAAAGCATTAAAAAAAAATCGTGGGTAAAGTACTTTGACTATATGTTTTAGTATTACTTCTGCGTGAAGTCAACGATTTACATAGTTGAAGTGCTAATTTCAAATAAAAGACTAAAGTGGTAATTTTTATACGATAGATGAGGAGATGAAACTATAGAATTGATAGTTCCGTTTAGAGTACGGCAGTGTGAAAATTGCATATAGAGAGTAGAAAGCGAGCTAGGACAACTTTTAGGAAGGTACAAATCGGGAAAACACCGTGCCCTCAAACGTAAGTCTCAGGTTACTTTGATGCATTTAAAAAAAATAAAAGCAGTTTTTTTCGATGCATCATTTCAGTTTGAAAAAAACTTGCGTCATTGGATTCTTTTAGCTATTTTACAAAAAATGACCCAAGATTTTTTTAAATCTCGACACGGTTCGAAAAAGCAGTGTAAATTTCTGTTCAATATGATGCACATAAATGGAGCGTCACATATCATATACGTTTACATTATATATCATGTAAAGTTCTGACACATTTCATGCAATGTAGCAAATTTTGTATACAAAAGCCCATATTTTTATACAACATTGTTTGCAAGTGGCTCGGTTGTGTGAAATGAAATACAAGTCTACGTGAATGAATGTTTACATCACAATTAAAATTCAGTATTTTTAATTGTGTATGTATTTGTGTTTTTTTTCACTTGTGTTGTGGTTTTGCTATGGATTATACAACGGTGAAAGGAATGACGATATTAAATTCAATGGCTTTACCTCCCTTGACATATTCGGCAAAGGCGCAGCTATCAAGCAAAACCATGCTGGAGTTGTCTGGGTTCGATTCCCGAGCAAAGTCGGACATCAAAATACTATCAAAATTATATCAAATTACGATTTCATGTTGATAACATTTTTTGAAATGCTATTTTTTAAATTTCGGTTGAATTCATATTTGATATTATTTTGATATGATGTGATGTGATGTGAATGGAACCCACCATCAGTGCAAGGATTACCAATGTCTGCAGATACTTTAACGGTTGTAAAGTTCTGCCTAATGGTTTGTTGCAGCAGCCACGTTGATGGCCAGCGACTAGCAAATCCACGAACCCTCGTCCAGTCAACAAATCCTTTGATTCCCTTAGGCTGCCCCCCCCCCCCCCCTACCCAGTATATAATATATATGAATTACAGTAATGTTCCACCACATGTTCAAAAATGTGCAGACATTTGGCGTTCAATGATGATTTCAAATACACAAAAAATGGGATGTGTGGAGAAAACTCCATTAAGAATTCGCCAAATTTAAGAGAATCATGTAAATTTAGTTTAAATTGATAAAATCAGACACGATCTCACCAA